ATATATACCACCTGCTTGCTTCACTGCATTTTCATTATATATTTTCGGGTTTCGTATGATTTTCAAGGTAAACAGCGATCATTTCCTTAAAATGCATTAACCGGTTGCTCTTTGCAATGGTGGAGTGTAGTGTTTTCTTTGCGGTACGGACTGAATTCCTCCAATGTTATTTAGACGATCTTCGGCATCAGATGGTTAATAAATTCGGTATATTTTCCGAAAAATAATTCTACTCCGTTAGACTTCTTGATCCATGAAGCTTTTTAGCGAGTTGTGAAGAATTCAATTCTTTATTATTTGTGTGCTGTATCAACAGCCTGTTGGGATGGCCAATTACAGATACAGCACAAAGATGAGCTCATAAACACAATAAAAGCATAAAAGGTAAAACAAGCAATATATAAAATACATTGATACGGAGGACGTAAATACACAAGAAAATTGCTGCTAAATATATTATGATATTTGTAAAAATAATTTAAATAAATTAAGTAAATTATGCTATTATAGAATATGATTAAGTGTGACAATTTTCGTCTCGAATATGTCTAAATCCCTGCAGACAACATTAGCAGCTGATGCGCATCTAGCAGAAGGACTGTTTTTGATCAAAGGGCTAGTACTGAACATAGAAAAATCTCTCAGATTCCGAGCAGGGATGCGGAGACCGACAGCTTCCAGAAGGGAAGGACAGCATTTAAAACCGCGGTAAACCTGCGCAAGGAACAGTGCATCACAAGAATGCCTTCTCTTACGCAGGGTCTGGAGTTTTAAAAACTCTAAAGCATCAGCATAGCTGTAATGCACTTGGGGGAGGAAACGATAGTAGCAAAGGGCTGCAAACTTCTGCTGGATACGTTCCAGTTTGTTGGCATCAGTAGTCGTAATAGAATTCCAAACGACCGAGGCGTACTCGAGCTTGGATCTAACTAAGGTTACATATAACATATACAGGCAATCGAGAGAAGAGAACGAAAAGGTTAATGTGCGAACAAGACCCAGAAACTTAATACAATGTGAAAATATGTGGTCAACATGGTTATGAAATCGGAGCTTGGAGTCGATAAATATTCCCAGGTCTTTAATGGTGTCGGTACGTGTTATAGAGGACTGAAAAAGTTTGTAATCAAAGATCAAAGTAGTGGTTTTCCTGGAGAAGGAAATTACTGTAGTTTTACTAATATTGAGTTTCATGAAGTTAGCAGTGCACCAACCTTGTACAGAGTCAATGTCAGTTTGAAGTTCATTGCAGTTGTTGGGAGATTTAATGGCACGAAAAATTTTGATATCATCAGCGAAAAGAAGGCATTTAGAATGATTAATTACTTGACATATGTCATCAATAAACAAATTGAAAAGTAGAGGACCCAAAACAGATCCCTGTATAACACTAGAGTGGACCACAAAAGGAGACGAATGAGTTCCAGAAACGCGAACCTGGGATTGTCTGTTGGTTAAGTAACGTTTTTAATAATACTTTGTGTGCAATATAATTGCCTGAATTAAATGTGATACAATCCATTCCTTTACGGATGAAACAATTTTTGCTACGTCACAGTTTTCGTCGGCATTGTTGTATTAGTGTTTACTGCCATCAACAATCGGCTGTTGTTGGTGTGGAAAGAACTTAGCTGTAAATCGCTTGTAGAAGTACGTCGTAGACGAGATAGTTTTGTACTGTGAAAAATCTTCCAGAATAACCCAATTACTTCTACGAATTATTAAGACATTTTAAATACTGTCCTCCACTCTCTGCATTTTATTGTTAATTAAATTGTTTATTGCGGGTGGACATCAAATTCTCTCCCCCTTGAACAAAGGTCGGGGTAAGGGTTTCCCATTAATTATTAACTAACTAACTAACTAACTAAATGGCTTACCGAACCCGAAGGTTCATCACCGAATTAACCAAAGCCCTCCACCGGACCCTGTCCTGGGCCAACAAAATCCAGTTTCCTTCAACTCCTATCTCCCATAGATCCCGCCTGAGATTATCCTCCCATCTACGTCTAGGTCTCACCAGCGGTCTCTTCCCTTCAGGTTTCCCAACCAGTACCCAGTGCACACCTCTTGTCCCATCCATGCGCGCTACATGTCCCGCCCATCTCACTCTTCTCGACTTAATCACCCTCACAAGACTGGGGGAGCAGTACAGATTTTTAAGCCCGTCATTGTGCAGTTTTCTCCACGCCCCATCGTCTTCCCTCTTAGGCCCAAATATCCTCCTCAACACCCGATTCTCAAACACCTGCAATCTGTGTTCCTCCCTCTGAGCGAGAGACCATGCTTCGCACCCATACAAAACAACAGGCAAGATTATTGTTTTGTATACTTTAATTTTCAGGTTCTTAGAAATCAGACGGGAAGACAAAATATTTTGGACTGAGAAGTAGCAAGCATTTCCGGAATTTAGTCTCCTCCTAACTTCCTCACAAGTATCATTTTGATTTGTTATTGCTGTTCCCAAATATTTGAACTTTGTAACCCTTGCAAAGGATTTATTAGCCACCCTAAGATAATTTTGCCCGCCTGTCTTCTGATGACGAGATACTAACATGTACTTAGTTTTTTCTGAAAATCTAGTTTTTTTATTAGAATTACGTTTAACGTTACTGAACAAAAATTAGCTACAGCCTTTATTACATGTCTGAAATTATTATAAAATCAAATACGTCTTTGTTACATATGTCAGAAATTAACTGAATCTTCATGCACTTAAGTATAATTTACACCATCATAAATATTTCAGTATTATTTAGAAAAATTATTAATTGTACATATTTCTAAAAGACAAGGCAATTATTTATTTTATTACAATTCATTTACATAAATGAATTATAATTTTGTATGATGCCTCTTGTTTCCATCAAAATAAAGTAAAACAATACGAGACAGGCGATTGTAGTGAACGAAATTTGTTTTGAATATCAAAGTTGGTGTTTGTGTAAAACTAATTAACCGCTTGCGCCATGGGGGAAACTACCGAACAATGGAGGGCCGCAGTTGGCCGGTGGAGTGGCGGAAAACCTGGGAAGTGCGTGATTATGGAAAGTTTCACTGGTAGAGAACGCGATAATGAAAGTTTCAGGTGGTTCAGCTGTTTTCTATTGGCTTCGCTCCTTGTTATCGGCTGTGTTGAACTGAATCCGGGCCCAAACGGAGTAGAGGTAAGATCAGCAATTCTTTAAACTCTCATTTATGCCCATGATTACGTTTCATAGGGAACGTTACAGATTGAATGTCATAGGGATTTAAGAAATATAAGCCATTTTCATAGGAAATGACTTGGACGTCGTTAAAATTAACACAAATTAGACTAACAAAAGATTCAGCTGCTGATTTTATAGTTTCTTGTGGGGATGTAAGCGGTTTCTTGTCAAGGTATTAACTTTCATTTGATGGAGAAATTGTGTGAAAATAAAATGTCGGAAATAATAATAATAATGAAACCTTTCGTATTAGCATGAAATAGAGAATTATACCGTGCACCATTTTAAATGCAACCCAACAACATTCACTTGCTCCGGAACAAAACGTTATATCAGAAATTGACCTAACCCCGTATAACAGATCTTTCCAGTGTTGCCCGTGGTTACTGGTTTCTAGGGCGCTGCTCGAGCGAGTTGCGCGATAGTTGTGTAGGTGCAAACATGGCGTATTCACGAGGAGAACGTGTGTCCTTTCTCTTTTCCGATCTTCGTAAAACATTTTGCAATGCGTATACTCACAAGGAAGTACCAAATAAGACAACAATGCACCGACTGGTAATAATGCTTCGACAGTTTCTCGAGTGTTTTGAGATTCAATTAACAATACGAGAATCATTTTCTTCATTTCATTTCTCTGTTGAAATAAAGTGAAACGTACTGCTGTTTCCAACATAATGGGGCCTTGACTCAAACTGCGAAAATAACTGTTTCATTGTAAAAAATATTCTGTGAGCTCATTGTTGGAAATGGACGTGGTCATACTTTAACCTTCCAGATATTTATGCATGGAATTTATGAAACAAAGAATTTGTTATAATAACTCGCGAAGTTTGGAGGAACTGAAAGAGACTTGCAAACATTGAACCTGAAACACCTCGAGAAGTAGCGTAAAACATATTACATATTTAGTTGTTTATTTTCTAGAAGGCTCTGGACGTTCTCAGCATTTGCTGTAAAGCTGTTCTACAAGTTATCACTAACAATCAAGAACTAAGTGGAAAAATACTCGTCTCTCTTGTTGTTATGCATGCCACCAAAGCATGGAAATACTTTGTTAATTCGCATTGCACCCTAAGCGTACAGTCCTGTACATAACAAATGTATAAATTTTGCGAGTTGGGAAATCACTACCCAGCTGTATCTACGTATGATGTGTATTTTATCATAAATTGCATCATTTTATTTCTTTCGTAACAACTAAAGGCCTACCAGTATAAGTCATTTAATTCATTACATTTGTGAGAATTGCATACACATCTTTCTAGATTATTCTACATGCAGAACGTGATCACAAGACACTTTGGCTGTGCCAACATAGATCATGATTTACCCAAAGAATCCTTGCGTCACAATCCCTCGATTCCAGAAAGGATATTTGTGACAAGTTCATAAATTTCGCATACTAAGTTATTGTTTACTTATCTTGATGTTAAATGTTAAACAACTGAATTAATAATAAGCCTTATCTATAATCTTTTATGGTTATAAATATTATCTTACCAGCCCTATAGAGGCTCCTAATGTTCCAGGTACCAAATCTCATGTCCTTTTTCAATTGCCGTGGTCGTGCCAAAGAGTCCGTCCTGATCCGAGGCTTGGTTGATTTTTTCGTAACACATATTTTTTTTTAAAGGTGAAAGGTTGTTAGCCCTAAACCCAACCCCCAACCTGGAGGACCAGGGTATCACTCTTAGTCTAGCGCATCTCCTTAGACCTGTCCGGCTTGGGTGACCCTACCATGAGCCGAAGCTCAGGCCGGCATAGCCCTAAGGGTCATTTGAGCACGCAAGCCTCCTCACCCGGCAGATTGCCTTCGACAAGGTGGTGAATTAATATTAATATTATTATTTGCAATTGCATTTGAAATTTTTTGTGGTATCGTCAGGGTTGGTATATAATTATTAAACATTCACACGATAATAATGCCATACGAGAGATCTCGTTGAATCTAGAAGACTTTACTTCTGTAATGTTGGATGCCGGAGGAATTCTGCACCCACCTTCGTCCTTACGGGAGGATAGCAGCTGGTTGTGTCTGTTATTGACAGCGCTCAATTGTCTTATTTTATTTGTACTGTCACGAACACTAACAATTTGAATAGCTGAATGAGTCTGACAGGTAGCATTGTCATTGAACCGTTTTATTCACCAAGAGTTTGTTGTGCTTTAAATATTGTCTGCATTTATGGTAAATATTTCCATTTTTACAGCAATGCGAAAAAATCTCGTGAATTAATTGCGTAACTCTTTTAACCGGAAGATGGTCTAAAAATATTTAGAATTCCAAATAATCACTGTTTGCAATGTAGCCCTTAAATACAAAATGTAGCGATAACTAGTTGATAAACCCGATAGTACATGTACTACCAGTCTGTTCGATTTGTCGTCAAAGCTAAAAGATTTCCTTGAACTTCAGTAAGTAACAGTAGCCTTAGTAGCTTGTTGCTTTCCAGTTTTAAATGATAGTGAACCAACTGAGAAGTATGAAATCGTCTTATAACTGCTGGCTTCATAGTGAAGGGGGTTAAATTATGTTTTTGATCATAAGACCCGGAAATGCTTTTTTTATATATCAGATACATAATATATATTTAGACCAGACATATTTGAAATTCAGTTTGATAAATATTTTGCAGATGGTCAAAGAGCCTTATGTCGTTGGTGACAAAGAAGTTTTTGGTTTTAGGTTTGGCCATTACATTTTCTGAAACCCACAGTGGCTTAATATTATGTGGACCCTCGTAACGACATGGTGAATTTAAAAATTATATCTGGTAAATTCAAACGATGTTAGTGAACTGTATCTGCATAAGAGAAATTCTATATGCTTAACAATTATTCATCGAAATAAATAAATGAAGCACAAGCTAAATAATGTGTTTACTTCTATTTTATTTCTCTCGTCTCCTTGAAATTTAGCCTTTTTGTAGTTGCATGGCTTAGTGAATGATTGATTTTGTTTGTCGCCTCCAACATTTCCAAAGCAGTGTTAATTTGTTTAAAATGTGTACAGGTGAACATTTATTTGACTCGCGCAGTGTTTGGCACTTCAGTCTGTCCGCACGTATGTGTCCAGTAATTATGCTCTGACAGCAGAGATATTTTAATATTTTGTGTGCAGCAATTCCACTCATCAATGGTTTCCTGTGGTCAGCTATACTTAGATTCTGTACTTATGAAAACATCTGACCAATAAAAATGTTTTTTTCCCCACAAAAGCACTCATTTCTACATGCAACATTATATTCAGAGTGACATATATCAGAGACACTGAAAGGACTAGCCGCTTAAGTCCACTCTGCTATCGTGTAAAATGTCATTATTTTTGCAGTTCGAATATATTTTGTGTCACTTGGAACAAATATTTCCTTATGAAACAATAAACTTCACTATTAAAGCAGCCTGTGTTTGGTCATATTCCTAGATATGATCATGTGCACAGTTAATTTATTGTAACATGACTGAACATGTGTGTAATATGCAGTACTGTAAGAGGAACATGACAGACTACAAGCATGAGGACGTTATGAAGGCCGCGAAATTGCTGTTCTGCAAGCGATCTCGTACTCTCCACCATTGGCTTAACCCGGATTTAACGAAGAGGAAGTTGGATGATGCAGTGTTGGCAGCCTGGAACGTATTACCGGACAACGAGAGACGCCTTTATATTGCAGAGATAACCAATCATTCATTCTTATTCTGCCCGGTTTCGTTGACATCCCAGACAAGAAAGATGGTTCATTCAAATGAAGATGTATATTATTTCCAATAATAAAATTACATTTATAATGAGATAAATACATTCTGTATTATTCTCCTTAATTTACAGACATGTCTTAAAGTCTATTTAATGTATTAAATCATCTTTATGCAGGCTATTATGGTAGTTGTAAACATGAAAATGAGTTTCATTTGTTGTAGAATTGACACACAGGCTCCTATGTAACTGAACAGAAAATCTCTTTCTTACGTCTAGATACGTGACATCTTCTCCCTGAATAGTGTTGCTACTTGTAATGAGACGTGGACCAAATCCGTAACAGCAGAGCCGACTGAAAACACTCACATTCAGCTCCAAGAATCTAATTTGAAACCGCACTTAACGGGAAGATACTTGAAATGTTTTGCATGCAAGGAAGAGTGGGTCCACGTTTCATGTGAATAAAACTGTCAGATCAGTACGGTACTCCCCTAAAAATGACTGTGATCGCAACTTTGTTCTCGTAAATCTTGCCACCTAATAACGTTATGTGCATCACAGACTAAGAAATTTCAAGATGAGAACCTAACTTCCTGACTCTTCCATACCATTGCCATGCCCAACCTTCTGGTAGACTGCACTAATCGATTAACATTGGTGGTTACATAAGTGAAATGTATGGAAATAGTGAAGTCTTCTTACGTAGTCCCTGACTGTTCCTATGGCATTCAGCTTTAAGTGCACGCTTCTTTGTAGGCTTTCCTGTGGTTAATCCATATTTCTTACCACGGTGTGTCTGATTACAGGTACTTGGAAGATCACCCCTTGGAGTCTCCAGCCTCAAGATCAATCCGCAACTGAACGTGTTGTTGAGGGAACTGCCGGAGAAAAATCGCGTGACATCGTGTACCAGAGACAGTGCTGATGAGACAGGCCAAGCCGTGCAGGAACTTCTTGCTTCTAGTTGTGATTTACAAGCCTCGTCATCTTACCCGGAATCGAAACCTCAAAATACTACAAATATCTGCAGAAAACGCAAATCACTGCAGTCGCGAAGAACGCCACTTGGGGATGTTGATCTCGAGGACCTGGATGAAGAAACTGGCATATTAAATCGAGAGTGCAAATTGCAAGCGGAAGCCGAGATCAAGCTAAAGCAGGAAGTTACTTGTGAAGTTGAAAAAACTCTATTTGTGCCTGAATTTAGAACTCAGGATGAGGAGGATAACTTCTTGATAAAGAATCTTGATCTAAAAGATCTGTTTCCTGGTACAGGTTTGTTGTCTGAAACAGAGGCTCTTGTTGATGATGATGTCTGGTTAAAGTATCTGGATCCAGAAGGTCTGTTATCCTACGCAGATTTGTTGTCTGAAACAGGGGATCTTGGTGACAACTATGATGTTTCGATAAATAATTAGGATCCAGAAGATCTGCTTTCCAACGAGGACTTTTTTCCTGAAACAGGAGCATCGATTCTCAACTTTGATTTTTGAAGTCATATGCCACTGTTTCACAAAATTGTACTGATTCCAGTATTTTCTACTTGTAGCTGTACAGAACATTTTTGAAATTCAAATCGGGGAAAATTGGGCAGCTTTTAAAAAATTTGGTAGGGAACCAAGAAACTTTTTAATTTGTATTGATGGATGTTTACGATTTTAGCCTTCACAGGATTCAAGTATGATACCTGTTATAATCTATGTTTGTACATGACTGCTACCTAAATTTCTCCACGATCCTCTTAAATTTTATATGGCTATAACTTGTCTTCTCTCTTCTGAGAAATTCGAAAAGCGGCTTTGTCTGGTACGGAAGATCAACAGAATATCCACCAGAATCAAACTCCGCATCTTTCGTGCTGTTATATGGATCTGAGACGTGGAAAGTAATAAAAACGATTACCCCCAAGCTGCAGACATTCGTCAACCGCTGTTTGTGAAGAATCCTAGACATCCATTGGCCAGAAGTGATTTCCAACCAAGAACTCTGGATAAGGACAGAGGAAACTGAGGGATCCGTGCAGATCAAGCGGCTGAAGTGGAAGTGGATCGGGCACACGCTGAGGAAGGGAAATGAAGCCATTGAGAGAGAGGTCTTGGACTGGAATCCGCAGGGGAGAAGGAAGAGAGGGAGACCCAGACAGACGTGGCGAAGATCTGTCCACACTGAGGCACTGGAAGAAGGAAAAAGCTGGAATGAAGTGGCTGTCAGCAGAACCAGGTGGCGGTGCTTTGTTGATGCCCTATGATCCATGAGGGACAACAGGAGCTGATGTTGATGGTGATGATATTGACAACTTGTCTTCACAGACACATACTCGGAAGTTCGTAATTTTATACATGTGCTGTTATTTTATACAGAGTGAGTCAGAAGTATGTTTACAAACTTCGTGGGCGTGTTCCAGAAAAAATGATCCTATGAACATGGGGTCGCAAATGTTTCATTTTTGAAATAATAGTCAAAAATAATTTTCAATGTATGCCTTTATTGCCAAGTATAAGGACAGGGAAGTTTCTTTATAACAGATGCTCAAAGGTTGTTCGTCCATTCCCCACACATGCACGAGCACGTCGTACACAAGACTGACGGATTCGTTCGTACACTCCAGGGTTTCCTCGAATCAACTGCACACATTCCCATAGGTCATCATTATTTTTTATGGGTGTTGCATAAACGACGGACTTTAAGTCACCCCACAGATAAAAGTCCAATGGAGTCAGGTCCGGTGACCTCGGTGGCCATGCTACTGGGCCACCACGCCTAATCCATCGCTGAGTGTACTGTTCATTGAGATGATATCTGACGCGATGGGAGAAGTGTGCTGGGGCTCTGTCGTGCATAAACCATATTTGTCTTCTTGTATTCAGTGGTACATCTTCAAGGAGACGTGACAAGTGTCTTCTTAAAAATCGCTGACATGAAGGTCCTCTTAGACGCGATGGAAGCATGTCCCCAACAATTCCTGCCCAAACGTTAATTGAAAATCTTTGCTGGAAGATGGATTCACTTTGATATAAAATCAATTCATTGAAACTTATTTTTGGATATTATTTCGAAAATGAAACATCTGCGACCAAATGTTCATGGGAATATTTTTTCTTATTTTTGATCCTGGAACACGCACACGAAGTTTGTAAACATACTTCTGACTCACCTGTATATATAAATTGTTGTAAAATTAAATATATGGTGTTAAGTTACGAAGACTACTCTTTTATTCTTCTTTGAGTTAAAATAATTCTGATTGCAAGGATAATCTTTGGCCCAGAACGAAACACAAGGCACTGTGACAAAGACAAAATTCTCATCTCTGTGACAAGCCAGGAACATCATTTTAGTAGCAGGTGTGAATGTAACTAATAACCACGAAGGCAGCCCTGTTAGACATTCCCTTGCTACTGTTGGACTATGAAGCTTCCAGCGAGGTACCTGTCAGTCAGTCAGTCAGTCCAGTATCTCATGCACTTCTAACATCACTTCAAAGTCATGCATGTCGCACACAGCGGCATCTTACCACATCCTTGTGAGTTCATTGTTGATGAATCATACTGTTACACTGAAATATGCTGGGAACTTTTTAACATGAAATAATGTTTTTGTAAAATGTTGTATTAGGTGGTGTATTAAGTTTAACTGTGAACATTTTCTCCGTTTATGAGAGGCCGTTATTACATTTTTCTTCTCTGGAACCAGGTTTTGTATCATTGGTGGATAAAGCTGAAAGTCTGGATTTATAAACTTTAATCATTTTGTCGATTTAAATGGGAGAAGATCTTTCAGAAAATATCTGAAAAAGTAACAAACACAGAAGCTTATAAATTTCTGTGTTCTTCTGTAACACCATATTTTGGAGGGAAAGACTGGACAATATGAAACAAATAAGAAAAAGGGAGAGAGATGAGAAGAATGATGATAAAACAAATAAATGAATGCAAAAGGGTAAAAGGAGAATTGGTGAAAGGAGGTAAAGATTTCTTAACAACATTACTAAGTCAGTCGTTGCATCAGTTACTCGTGTTTAACACTGTCATTATGAAACATACCCATTTGTCTTTGACTTGGTATTTCACATCCTCTTTTTGTTAAAAAAGATACCGTGTTCATCAGGGCTGTGCAAATGGGGGGGGGGGGGTGAGCTGAGTGCGGTGCACCGGGGCCCCGATCGATAAAGCACGAAACGTTCAATATTTTTAATCAAAAATTATAATATAATTTTGCCATTGGTTGCCACAAAAATATAGAAACCTGCACACAATAAGACGAAAGGAAATATTTAGCGTGGCCCGGTCTCCCGACTTGGAATACTCAACGCAGAGCGGTTTAATATTTTCTTATCTCAAAAAAATAAGGGACCCAGATTTCTTCGTGCACCCGGGCCTCAAGTAACTTTGCATGACCCAGATATTTATCATTGTAATTTTTACGTAGTAAAATTCGTGTTTTTTTTTTACTTTTTACCAAAATCAACTTCATTGGGGGTCCCCCTATATCTGCGGGGCCCCAGGCTGTCGCCACATGCGCCTGTTCCAAAGTACGGCCCTGATTGTATATGTGCAGTTTACATGCAACACAAAATCATCCTGATAAAATATCCAGATTAGATCGTGGCAGAGTTAATGGAAGAGATTATAACACAGTACACGGATTTTGGTGAAATTTTGTATTAACGCGCTTATACACTAGGGTTTTTTTTTATAAATTTAATTTTTGTTCATATGTGTCACATATGCTTCGATTCCTTTGTTACACAAAGCTCAAATCAAAGTAACAAATTGATGAAGTTAGGAAGTGGCTCTCATTTGAAACCATGTATGACAAGTTGTGTATTTTAACAGAATACTAAGGAACATCATGACTAGTCTGTATGAGATATCAGTACGTCGAATACCTCAATCGGCAATATAACTTATAGCTCTGTATTACTGATTATTTCTGTCAACAGTCAGTTTCTTTTTAAAGAAACAGAAGGGCAGATAAATTAACGTTTAAAACTTTCGTAGTGTTTTACGGTTTTAAATAACCTGTTAAATAAATTCAACTGTAATGCATTCCAGTTTCGAGTTTGGGAGAAGGGGAACAGAGAATCGAAGGCGCTCTCTTGTTTTTTCTCTGTGAACTAATTTCAAAATTACGCGCTGTGCTGTAGCAGTGCCTTTGATGTCAACAGACGTGATCTACGTAGTTAGTGCTGGCGGTCACCCGCGGTGATGTATCGTGTTCCTTGCGTGTGTTTTATATACTACATATTATGTTTTATAAATGGAGAAGTGGAGCTGTGGTTCATGGTCCAGAACGAGGCATGTCAGTGATCACGTAATAATTACACTAGTATTAACTCTAAAATTGCAGAAAATAAGGTCTGGTTAATGTAATATTTGGTTGTGCCGCTGGCGACAATTTAAACGAGAGAATTAAGTCGCGTGCATCCATGTCGTTTTATGCATTTAACACAAACACACTTCGATATTTATTCAAATCGATATAAATATACGTGACAATTAAGTACAATGGACGTATGCTATGATTTTCCAAACATTCGGATGTGCGTTTCGAAAACGGCGAAATCATATAATGCCCGATTCACGAGTAATGTGAACGTTATATCCTTTCCAACGTCTCATTGTCCATTGAAAATTAAACACACAATGCTCTAGGGCTGATTCACAATTATGTTTTGAATTAGTGAAGAGCATTTAATGCAACCGTTAATGTGGAGTTTATGCAAGTGACATCTGCATTAAAGTAATGAACAGAGCTACAAAACTGTTGTAAATAGTCTCCTTCGTCATTACTGATAGTCCCAGTGACTTTAAGTGCACTTTATGTGTGGCTTAATCACAGCTGTTTCGTTCGACGAAACAAATTCGCCAAAGGGGACGCCACGACCTTCCTTCTGTTCTAAATATTCTGGATTAATTTGTCATCGCCTCAGATATACGAGGTGCGATCGGAAAGTTTAAAGACTGTGTCAATAGAGGGCGAACCGGATGTAGTACGAGCTTCTGCCGCTAGGGGGTGCGGCCTACATTCATAGTGAATCAGTGTGCCAGCCGGCATCATCGAATTAGCATTTGTTTCTTAGTTACGGGCGTTTTGGTAGTGCATTACACCGACCCTCCTGCGATTTCGGAATGGCGTATGCATCAAATTTTGCCAAAGACTCGCCAAAACCGCTACGGAAACCTATGAAATGCTAAAGCAAACATTTGGGGAGTCCGCAAACTTTTGTGTGGCATTCACGTTTTAAAAATGGCCGAACCCCTGTCGATGATGACGAGCGTTTGTCAATAGAGGGCGAACTGGATGTAGTACGAGCTTCTGCCGCTAGGGGGTGCGGCCTACATTCATAGTGAATCAGTGTGCGAGCCGGCATCATCGAATTAGCATTTGTTTCTTAGTTACGGGCGTTTTGGTAAATTGAAAATTCAGCTAAAGGGAAGGAGATTTGAGACGATAGAAGAGATTCAGGCAGAATCGCAGATGGTGCTTGACAGGCTGACAAAGAAAGATTTCCAGGGATGCTTCCAGGCTTGGCAGCGGCGCTGGGATCGTTGTGTTCACTCCCAGGGGAACTACTTCGAGGGTGATGGATGAATTTAATACCTGAGATAAGTGTAGGGGTTTTTATAGGCGCAGTCTGGGAACTTTCCGATCGCACCTCGTATTACACACGCCCTACCAGAGGGCATGTTTGCACATGTCTTTTAGATTGCAGCGTCATGTAGTCTGGTACAAGTTTATCGACGTTTCAGAGGCCCTTGCTGCCTCAATCATCAGGGTGCCCATACTCGTGGCCAAGAATGCTGGGAGCCTTACCTCATTGACGTCTATACGCCTGTATTCGTGGTACTAGTAAATTCCACCGCTATAAGGTCCGATCGACTGACGGCGTATTTAAATAAATAATAATGTAGGGAATCAATTTAATTAAGACAATGTAAAATTAAGAATATAAAGATTATACAGTTGGCCTTCGTAGTGAGCGGACGTGTCTTGCTAGTGCTCCGTGCTGTGTATTTACAACGTGGTGCAGTTTTACAGGAATCTACTACCTGCTGCCTTCCGCCGCAATGACGGCTAGCAAGGATACTTGCGAGGTGTGCAAGAAGGCTTTCTACGGAAAGCAAAAGCATATTAGATGTTGTGGGCCGTGTGCTTCCCGTTTTCATGTCAATTGCTTGAAAATGAGCGAGGTGGAATACTCATTCCTCTTTTCTGATGGTGTTTCCACCTACAAGTGCAGAAAGTGCGTAAAGGCACTTCGAGGCGTTAGTGGTGTAAACACACCGCCTAGGATCTTGCGTTCTGCCTCTGCCTCGGAGATTGCAAAGAAGGTAGTGTCTCCTGTAAAGGAACCGATCCTGCCGGACGTTGGGGGCTACGAATCTCTCGCTGAAAAGTTGGAGATGGTGAGGCTCAATGGAGCTTGCACGCACAATCTTGTGGAAAACTTGGTCCAGTTGGTCCTCAAGCTTTCTGAGGATGTGCAGCAGCTGCGCAAGGACAACGAATATTTGAAGGAGCAGTTGAGTAGCAGTACTCCCTGTGCTCCTTTACATGTTGCGGAAAGAAAATCATCAAGCCAGAGATCTTCAACCGCTCCGTCTCGCAAAGTTCCTGAGTCATCCGACAACTCTACTTCGGCCTGTGCTGCTGACGTGGGCGTTAAGTCCTACAAGGATGTCGCACTCACGGGTTTACATACTACGGAGACCCCA